TAATAAAATATTTGGATGAGCCCCACTACGTATGAGTGCATGCACACCCTTATGTACATTTAAAACAAGGAACAGATTCCTAAAAATATGGTCCTTTGAATTTGTGATTAGAAAGAAAGAGGCCTAAGTTTTGTCATAAAAAAACTGTTGTTTTTGTGTTCACGGACATGCATTTATACAGAACCCCACATAACAACATTTACAGGACAAGAAAGCCAAATACCTGAGCAGAAGAAAGTACTTTAGGCGAAACCTGATATACTTTTGACTTCCGTAAACAGCAGAGCTCACGTCGAAACCGCTACCGACTTTACCCTGCGCTATACAGTGAGCTGTTTGAGCTATGATATGCATGACATCCAGTTCCTTCGAGACTTGATCCCCTGGAAGAGAACTATTTTCTAAGGAAAGTTTGACCACTCCAAGGTAATGAAGTAAAGCAGCAACAACTGCAGTTGTCATAGCAGCAGACGAGCCGAATCCAGTTTTGGCAACTTCGGGTTTGCTCTTTTGTTCACTAGATTCCTCTGCATTAAAGGTGATCGAAGTGAAAGGTGGGAGAGAAGCCAGTGAATCGGGAGATAGAGGCAGGCCACGGGCTTCAATCTGCGTGGGAGTACCCATATGAGTCTGAAAGAAGCATTTTCACAAAAATAGTTTCATATCCATGTGCATGAGTAACTTTGAAAATCCTTCCACTATGCTGAAAATGTTAGGTTTAATAATTTCTGATCATAAACATCATTGAGACGTGGCCCAATTGCCAAATTAAACAAATTGTCTGGTAAAAATTCAGTAGAATAATGGAGAAGTTGAATACCTGATTTCTATATGAATAGAACTCATTGCAGCCTAAAATCGTAATGTCAAGACCTGCATGACTAGACCAAAACAGACATTAGAATTTGTAAGTTCAGTTAGCTTTTGAAGAAAGATCGGGGAATTTCATATCCAACTTTACCTAGCAACAAAAGTTTATGTAGCTCCTCCTTCTTAGTATTGTCAAAGGTGGCATGTGCTGCTGCTATAGCATATTGCAATGCATATTCTACGAATGGGTTTCTTGAATCACTGAGTAGGCATAGCGAAAAAATTCTCTCATGTAAGCATTAATTGGCCATATGGTTCTTGCTCAGACAATAGTACGTGAAAAAAAGTAGTTCATTCTTCAATAAGTTAAGTTCAATTCATAAGCATACGCAAACACGCCACAGTTACTAGGGTCCATTACATAGAAATTTTAAATGGTTTGCTTTTCACCTTGAAGATACACACTGTAGCTGCAGATGCTTGAGAGACAGTTTATACATAGTTTCTCTACCCATCTAAGGAGATGTCAGTTTCACATCTGTCCATGCCTGAAATACAGCGAATTTTTGGTAAAAAAATAAACCACATAGTACAAACCATTTGGAGAGAACAGAGAAATAAAACATACAATTAAAATCTTGGAAACTCATTTCAAATAAAATAAACAGGCGGTATGGCAAGAGTGTCAATTAAGTGAATCAAAATTATCCATTTACGGATCAAACTTGGAGATAGAATTGCACCACAAATTATCATGATCTACCACAGAGTGTCACATACCCATGCCCAACTGTCAGGTTTAAGGTCCTCATAAAGCGGCTTGACAATAGCATAAAATCGGGCATTTGTACTTAGTACAATCCCTGCGTTAGGCCTCTCCAGAATAAGATATCCACCAGTCATTAAAACTTTTCCCAGCGCAGAAGCAACCCTACTCATTAATAAATTAGAACAAAATCACTAACACCATCATCACCACGAAACAAAAACATACTGTAATTAAAACAAGAACAAGCCTACTCACACTGCCATTTGTCCGCAACTGTATATAGAATTAGATCTGGACAAAAGAAACAACAAAATCAAGAATCAGATGAATAACAACGAAATCAAAACAATGAAAATGGCTAGAGATGGCAATGGGGCAGGTCAGGTCGGGTACTTCACTACCCGGGCCTGCCCCGCGACCCCAACCCCGAGGACGCCCTGGTCCGTTCCCCACCTCAGGTCCAGCAGGGTTGCCTGTGACCTGGCCAGGCCCGGATGGGTTTGTTTAAAAATAATAATAATAATAATAACATTACAGTGGAAGAATGGCAAGGTTTGAAGTTTCATAGAAAAAGAGTCACAAATTATTTTATTATTTATACTAAATGAAGTATAAAATACCCAAATTTTTTGTCTGTTGTTCAGAATAGCTGGGATTTTATTTGAAAAATATACAGACTAATGTACAGTAAGGCCCAAAAATACTTCTCATTGCAAACATATTTTTGAATGGCGACTGGCGAGGCGACTGGCCCATGGCCTCGCCATTCGCCATGGCGAGGCCTCGTCTACACATATCAAATTGATGAATTAAATATAGAGTATTAGAAACCTATGCAATGAATTAAACAATTGAAACACATAAATAGATAAGTTAAACAGAAAAACTAAACCGAAAACCTATGTATTATACAATAGAGAAACTATACATACAAATATAATAAACACTAAATTATAAATAAAACAGAAACTTTTTTTTTTTAGTTACAAAAAAAAGAACAACCCCAACACTAACAGAGGTCAGCAGCGCGCGACATACCCGGGGAGGAGCTTGTAGATGCGGGGCCGGCGCGGCAGCAGCTCCTCGGAGATTAAGAGAGCTGTCATTTATTTTAAACTATGACTGCAAATGTACAAAATGCAGAATAAACCAAAACTAAAAAGAAAAAACTTGATCTTTTTAAAAGGGATTCATTTGGTGTGCCAAATTTGAACATTTTTAGGTCCCTGAATACTTCCAGGGCCTGTTCGGTTAAACAACCCTATGATGGATTGTTAAACAACCCTATAATTTTTAGACCTGGGCCGGGTCGTGTCAATTCGGTTTAGAGTTGGCTTTTGAATGAAAAAAAATGACTAAAAATAAAATACTTGCCATACAACAAGACACGGCCTTTCATTAGGTCTTACGGAGACTTACCTCGCAAGGGTAACCGTATTACATCGACGGGGACAATCGTACCGACGGCCGAATCGGCTCACGCCGATAGGCTACATGGTTTACATGCATACTTAAATCATACCAACCCAACATTAAAGTAAACACATACGGCATAGCAAATTTTATAAGTAAACCCACCTGGTTACCGAAGCGATAGATACAAAAACACGAGTAGGCAGCGAGCTCAGCTCGTCAAACACCTACATATATTAAAATAGTCCTATAAATGACTATTCAACACATGACCAACCAATCATAACAATCATTTAATCCAACTAAGCTCACATAAGCATTTAATCAAAGAAATCCCATTTCCGAAAACACCACTTACGTTTTTCAAAACTTGACCCGTGCAGCATTTTTGAAATCAACATAACTTTCTGTACAAAACTCGGATGAAAATGATTCAAGTTGCACTAGAATCATAAGACATGCATCTACAATTTCTATGAAGAAAATGAAAGTAAATAAGGTCATTAAGGTACTTTAAAAATAGCTAACATTCAAACATCAAATTTTGTCAAAGTATAAAATCCTACTTCATGCATATCTACATTAAAATTATCAAAACTCGAGCTACATATATCATCTCAGAATGAATCTTATCTCATTAGAAAGCTAATTAATATACCTACAACGTTCATGAAGATCACAAACTCATTTGAGCACATTTAAGTACCATAAAAAGGTCAAACATTTATTAATACATGCTGCCAGATTTTCGAAAACTGCTTGCACACTCGTTTTATAAAAATCATAACTCACTCGATATAACTCGAATTAACAAAATGCAAAAATACCGAGAAAGCCAACAGAAAATACTACATTTCATCAGAAGGCCTCAACAACAAATTATGGGTTTCTAATTGTAATAATTACAGCACAACATAGCATTAAATCATGCATGTACCAATCGAAAAAATCCAACTTCAAACAAGGATTCGGTAATACGAACGATACTTATATATAACATGTGATATACGAGAACAACCGCAATAACGAGAGGGTTCAGAAATGTTTACCGTCTTTGGGAAAATACGAGCTCAGTTAAAGTAATCGAACGAAATGACGGGAGTTCGGCATCGGCATTTTAAATCATTTTCCTAATATTCTCCACGGGAATTTAAACGAACAACAATTCGGCTTACGCGATTAAACCAAAAATTCAAACGACGATTGATAAAATAAAATCGAACGAGATATATAATCACAGTATCCATATAATAATATAAAATATAATCTCAAAATTAAGATTCGATAAATAGAATAATCCGAGAAATTCTATAAATCGAACGGGGCGTTACAATCTACCCACCTTACAAAGAATTTCGTCCTCGGAATTCGAAAACAAAACAACTAGAAGGTAAAGAGGGTACAAGAAGGGGACATCAAATGTGAGGTTCGGGTACTCTCTCCGAATCTCGGTCTCCCCCTGCCAAATAATCTCGCCCTCAACTTGACTACACTCACTGGACGTTGACGTGTACCACTCCCGGTCTTTCCCTGATGGACCTTCAGTCCCAACAGGTCACCGATACCTCCATGCATGTAGGGTTCTGCCTATCACGCAGCTCGCCACAATTAACACATACCTCGAGATGACGCACTCATTCCCTCCATCACGAGGATAGAACGTGGCATGCATGCTCACAAGTCCCGGTGGTGGAGTCAACCATCAGGCTAAGCTATTGACTTGGTCGAGAAATCATGATAGGACAGAAAATCGACACTTATTCTCAAATCTGGTACATTCAGAACACACGGTTCTGTTTGATAACATTGACAAAGCCTCTCTCCTTGCCGACACGAACAACATCTCGTATGCGGTTTAGGATGTAAAGGTCAGATACTCGATAATGATTTCCTTCCACAGAGTTGGTCTCCAGTCGAGACTCAATGTTCCGTCTCCACATTACTACGGAAACTACTATCTCGCCAACTTGATAAAGTCTCGCATGTGGCATGGAAACTAATCGACAAACCACATACGCTGGGAATTGTTGATTAGGGCATTCACACAATGACTCGAAAGATCAACATACACCTTAACCAAAAGTCTGGTTCAATGACCCCTAAAAGGACAAGGTCGGACTGAGTTAAATGCACTGTCACCTGAGAGGTGACACACACGCTGGCGCTGCATATGCGGGGCGTTGGGACGCGTGCATGTAACCACTCGGATACCAGCTACAAGGTCCAGGTTTGGCCGTAGACACTGAACTGGGGAGTTCGTGCGTTTGGTGATGGCGGCGGCAGTTCTCATGCGAGTCAACGATCGGCCACTGCAGTTGGCCTCACGTCTCTCAGCACGGCGTGCAGGCTCTGATACCAAACTGTAACACCCCACTTTAATTTTAAAGAAATTCTGGACTTTCCAAAACAAATATTAATTTTTCGAGATCATTTTCGAAATTCTATGGGTATTAATCAACGTTTTTCTTAACCCAAGTCATATCTGGGCCCACGGGATTTCATTACCCGGATTTTTCACAAGGTTTCATTACCCTGATTTTCAACATAAGTTATTCAGCTCGTAAACGAAGGCATGAAATAACCAAACACATTATGACCAATTCACATTAGGTTCATCAAAACATCCCAAAAATTAACATACTCAAACAGGAGTTTTTTAAACAGTTTTCATGTTTTAACCCAAAACAAAGTTCCAAACACTAACACATTTATTCATATGCGGAAGCATTAATAATCATAATCATAAGACCGACCCACTCGTCCTTCCTCGTCACTCGGCTCCTGCTTAACCTGCATCCGTGAAGAGCAGGTGGGGATGAGCACAACATGAAAATGCGTTCTCACCACTATGCACGTATATCACATTAATAAATAATGTAAAGAAGGTATGGTTATAGCATGAACATAAATCAGTTATTCTGTCACGTCTCCTAATCACATCACAACATATTACCCACGTGTACACATCTTTCATTAGCCACGGAAAGGGGATTCAATACCCTAACTCATGGGGGTACGTGCCATACAACAAGACACGGCCTTTCATTAGGTCTTACGGAGACTTACCTCGCAAGGGTAACCGTATTACATCGACGGGGACAATCGTACCGACGGCCGAATTGGCTCACGCCGATAGGCTACATGGTTTACATGCATACTTAAATCATACCAACCCAACATTAAAGTAAACACATACGGCATAGCAAATTTTATAAGTAAACCCACCTGGTTACCGAAGCGATAGATACAAAAACACGAGTAGGCAGCGAGCTCAGCTCGCCAAACACCTACATATATTAAAATAGTCCTATAAATGACTATTCAACACATGACCAACCAATCATAACAATCACTTAATCCAACTAAGCTCACATAAGCATTTAATCAAAGAAATCCCATTTCCGAAAACACCACTTACGTTTTTCAGAACTTGACTCGTGCAGCGTTTTTGAAATCAACATAACTTTCTATACAAAACTCAGATGAAAATGATTCAAGTTGCACTAGAATCATAAGACATGCATCTACAATTTCTATGAAGAAAATGAAAGTAAATAAGGTCATTAAGGTAGTGTAAAAATAGCTAACATTCAAACATCAAATTCTGTCAAAGTATAAAATCCTACTTCATGCATATCTACATTAAAATTATCAAAACTCGAGCTACATATATCATCTCAGAATGAATCTTATCTCATTAGAAAGCTAATTAATAGACCTACAGCATTCATGAAGATCACAAACTCATTTGAGCACATTGAAGTACCATAAAAAGGTCAAACATTTATTAATACATGCTGCCAGATTTTCGAAAACTGCTTGCACACTCGTTTTATAAAAATCATAACTCACTCGATATAACTCAAATTATCAAAATTCAAAAACCCCGAGAAAGCCAACAGAAAATACTACATTTCATCAGAAGGCCTCAACAATAAATTACGGGTTTCTAATGGTCATAATTACAGCACAACAGAGCATTAAATCATGCATGTACCAATCAAAAAAATCCAACTTCAAACATGTGATATACGAGAACAACCGCAATAACGAGAGGGTTCGGAAATGTTTACCGTCTTTGGGAAAATACGAACTCAGTTAAAGTAATCGAACGAAATGAAGGGAGTTCGGCATCGGCATTTTAAATCATTTTCCTACTATTCTCCACGGGAATTCAAACGAACAACAATTCGGCTTACGCGATAAAACCGAAAATTCAAACGACGATTGATAAAATAAAATCGAACGAGATATATAATCACAGTATCCATATAATAATATAAAATATAATCTCAAAATTAAGATTTGATAAATAGAATAATCCGAGAAATTCTACAAATCGAACGGGGCGTTACATTAGCCACGAAAAGGGGATTCATTACCCTAACGGTGGGGGTACGTGCCACGCTACGGACACGGCCTTTCATTAGGTCTTAAGGGACTTACCTCGCAAGGGTAACCGTATTACATCGACGGGAACAACCGTACCGACGGCCGAATCAGCTCACGCCGATAGGCTACATGGTTTACATGCATACTTAGATCATACCAACCGAACATTAATTATAATACATATGGCATAGCAAATTTTATAAGTAAACCCACCTGAACGATAACAAGCGAAAGCACAACAATAACGGGTAGGCGGCGAGCTCGGCTCGTCAAGCACCTACATTTATTAAAATAGTCCTATAAATGACTATGCAACACATGAAAAACTAATCATAACAATCACTTAGTCCAACTAAGCTCACATAATCATTTAATCAAGGAAATCCCATTTCTAAAAATACTATGTACATTTTTTTAAAAAACTTAAACCGGGCAGCGTTTTTGAAATCAACATAACTTTCAGTACAAAACTCGGATGAATATGATTCATGTTGCACTAAAATCCTAACACATGTATCTACAATTCTTATGAAGACACAGAAAGCAAATAAGGTCGTGTACTAGGAAATAAATCATCAAAAATTCAAAACTGAGTAGCAGTCAAAAATCGAGAACTTGTAACCGACCAGACTTCAGTATTTAATAGATAACTGGAGCTACAGACATGGTTTTAATGAGATTCAAAAACTAAATGATAGCTAACTCAAATTTCTACAGCTTTGCGGAAGACCATATTGGCAAATAATCACTTTATAAATGAGTTTGGATACAAAACATTCGATTCATAAAGTCTGTCCGAGACTAAAGTATGATATAAACAGTACCTCAGTATTTATCTTCTTAATCATGTTACCGACCTCTAAATTTCATGGTTATAGTATGCTTAGGAAGCTAAGAGATAGCCCTACAACTTTCATTTAGAACACAAAAGCAGATAAGGTCTTTAAGATGGCGTAAAATCTACCAACATTTAACATTAGTTTCCGGCCAAAGAGTAAAACCCTACTTCATGTATATCTACAATCATATGAACACAACTCGAGCTATAGATATCAACTCAGCATGACTCCAATCTCATTAAAAAACTAATCAACAGAACTATAACTTTTATGAAGACTACAAATTCACTAGATCACATTATGACACCATAAACAGGCCAAACATTATATAGACTCATGCTACCGGTTCCAGAAAAAACTGCTTGTATGATAAATTTGTAAAAATCATAACTCAATCAATATTAATCGGATTATCGAAATTCCAAAGCCTAGAGAAATATAACAAGACGAACTACAATTTATATGAAAAACACATTTTCAGAAAACAATTACTTAATGTCATAACAGAGGCACCTTACCTCCTTCAAGAAAATGAAAATGATGAGAAGAAATGAAAGAAGTGTTGCTCGGTTCTTCTCCTTCTCTCCCTCTCTTGCTTGAACTCGGTTTTTCTCTCTCTTTGCTAATGTTTTCTAAGTATTCAAAGGCTATTCTCAGCTAAGGAATGATACTTAAAGTATCTCATGAATAACCAAGACAAAATGGTAGAAATTATATGCAAATGGTTGTTAAATTTCTCATGTGCACATTAGGTGTTGTCTAGTTGACTTGGGTTGTCTTGCCAAGATTCTCAACAATGTGGAAGCTTAGCTGAATAAAAGGATCTGGTTTAGCATCACATGTGGTAGGGAACAAGATTTGGATCAAGATCATGTGCTCACATGAAGAAATAATATGGCTATGATCATTAATATGCTCTTTGTTTTGGTTATTACCTTATGATGATCACTAAAATATGAATTGTTGGTCACTTTAACTTGTAAAAATAATGTTAAGAGCCAAACTACCATGTCACATTTCTTAATTTCACCTCTCAACAGAGACCATTTAAAAAAAACACTTTTTTCCCATTTCCATACCCAGAAATCGAAGCTCGGCCAATAAATAATAAAACAAAAAAGATCATACTACCGCCCACCTATGTACAACAGACAGCGACCGATGATTACGCTTATGCCCTTTTGATTTTTTTTTTCTTCACTCTTGGCGGGCAAATGGGGACGTGCTCACGTCAATTGTGCTGTAAAACGAGTCCTCCCCTCCGGCTGCATAGTACATATCCTCCTTCTCCTCGTCCCATCTCACGACCTCTCGTATGTATTTGAAGGCCTCGTCCACTGTGGGCCTCTCTCGGGCCCGTGTCTGCCAGACGAAAATCTTCCGGCCAGTTAAGGAAGCGTAAAGGTCCTTAAACCGCATGGCCATGTTAAAGTAGGCATGTTAGGCCAGGGACTGTGTGTTGTGGTGGGGCCTGACCGGGCTGAAGTCACTGAACCAATGGCATTTCCCGAGCGGGGCCCAGTTGACTTTTTCCTCGAACAAATCATACTTGTTGAGGACGAGGACAAATGAAGTGTCCTTAAAGCACGGGTGCTTGACCATGGACTCGAAGAAGTCCCTGCTTTGAATCATATGGTTCGTGAGGTGGGGCTCACAAGAAGCGTCTGAAGACACCCACACCTGATCATAATCGCTGAGGGCCACGTAGAAGACGACCACACGAACATCCTCGAACATCTCGACCCACTTGCAACCCTCGTTCAAGCCCTTGGCGTTGACTCGGATCAGCTGGTACCTTATTTGTGAAATGAACTATTTTTTTATTTTTATTTTTATTTTAGAACAAACTAAACTAAACCATAATATCCATATCCAATTTCAAGAGTTGAAATTTTTCCTTTGGAGCCGACAATATTTCTTCCTGGCAAGGAAAACTTACTTGGTGAGAGGTGAGGGCCCAGATTCCATATTTTCTTTGTAAGTTTCTAACATTGGGCTTCGATCGTCCAATGAGAACTCCATAAAAGCCAGCTCATTACCTTGAGTCACCCCTTCAGCAAACAGTATATCTTTGTCTGAAGGTTCATACTCGTTGCTCGATATTTCAACTGCCTGTGAGACCCCAAAAAAAAAAAGATTTGGTAACTGAATCGAATTTGATTAAGCTTTCAAAAAGACCAGATAATATATTATTCGAAGATAACGCAGAAGCAATATCACACAAGCCCTCTCTCTCTCAATTACACTAAAACACTCAGCTTTAAAGTGATGAAGAATATACCCTGCTCAAGAAGTACTCGGTTACGTCTGGAAGAAAGTGGAGTTCATTCTTTCTCTTATAAGTCTCCTGAATAGCAGGATCTTTCCATACTTCCTCAACAAGCGGGGCATATTCGCGTGTTGCTGCTGGGAAAAATGCATCCAAATCCCCAGTGGCAATTATGTCAAGCAGCCAGTCAGAAAAGTGCTTCAATCTTGGGTTGAGAGAATAAATGCATTGGTTATTTATCTTTGCAAAAACTTAAAGAAACCAAATCACGAAATGAAGTGAAAGCAATACAAAATGAATTTTTTTTAATAACAGTACTAACAATAGTTACTGAACCATAAAAAATCAAGTTTGTCATATTTTTCGCTTCATACAGCAATAATACAAAGACCATATTCAAATACCCAAATAGGTAAGACTTTGAGAAAAGAAAAGAAAAGAAAAAAAGGTAGAAAAGCAAACACTTATGGCAGCAAAAAACCAAAGTTTCATCATTTATTGAAAACCTATTACTGAGATAACCTAAGACATAATTTCCAAAGAGTTCTTTGTTTAATATGATACCTGCTTCAGCAGCTTCTTCGTCAGAAGCTTGCCTTCTTCTCTCTAATAAATCTTCCTCCTCAAAACGTTCTCGAGCATCAAGCAGGATGCTGAGATACTTGT